CCAACGGTGTGCTATAAAGGTACTCTTGTGTTCGTGCCCCAGAAGACACGTGCGATAATGTTCCTAGCGACATTGTTTGTAATAGCCCCAAACTGGAAGGAAACAAGATCTCCCCAGGCAGTAGAACAGATCAGTGAGTTGTGCACATTCATACAGAGGAATGCTGGTGAGAGTGGTCAGGAGTGAAAAGGAGCGAACTGTAGTCACTACACGTGTTGGTGTGGACGAGTCTGAGCAACATCGTGTGGAACAGAACGGCTTGCAGGAGAACACGGTGCAGCGTTCTTTCACTTCAAGTTCACTAGTAAGGAAAGCCAAACAAAATATTGCGTGGAGATAAGTCTGTAGGTGATGATGCTGCGAGGAAATGTTCCCACACAGTTCAGGTAACAAGTGCCTTGGTGGGGGGGCGGGGCTGCCGTCACAGCACACGGGGTCTTTAAGGCATGAGTGGCAGTTTATTTCTTAAGCCTTGTGACGAGCACATGGATGATTGCTTTATTGTTACTCTTTTAAACTGTATCTATAAGTTTTTCCACTTTACTTCTGAATGTTTTATTATGAAAAATTTCAAACAGAGAGAAAAGTTGAAGAGTGTTCACTGAATACCCGTATCCCACTGTTTAAATTCTATGATTAATCTTACTGTGCATTTTAAGTCACATACATACGTTTTATAATTTCTTTTGTATATGTGATTATTTCATAATAAAAAATATTTAGGAGACTAAGAAGAAAACCAAGGAGTCTCCATTTTGAATTATAGATCTTTGAGGTAAATACTAGTGGATGTCTAAGGAAACAGGAAAATGGAGAGTCTATCAGAAAAGAGTTGAAATGAAAAACATATCCTTTGTTTTCTTTTGAAATGAAAATCTCAGTATGTTTTATTTACAACCAGTTGTAGAATTTTTATATTGACTAATCTATATTGACTAATGAAACTCTAGAAATAAATTCAGAATTCTCTGTATTACATATGTATTAATTTCTACTTCCAAAAGATTTTGAGGTAGTATTATGGACTGCAGAGGTGTTGTATATAAAATAATATGTATGTACATATGCATACACACATGCACATACACACACATATCTATTTATAAAAAGAACCATTCTAAGTCAAGAGTATCTTTCAGTGATTTTTCTCTTAGAGGAAATGAATAATTATTCATAATTCCATCATCCTAACACAAAATGTTTTTATATTATATTACGTATATACCAGTTGACACAGTGTATTAATGCTTTTTTTGTTATTTAACAAACTATGTTTTCTTCACTTTTATTAATTCTCAACAGCTCCTAATATTCCATCATTTTGAGGAACTGTAATTCATTAAACCACTTCTCTAATTTTAGGTTATATCTATTCTATTTAGAAAAAATTCTTAAGAGTGGCATTAGTGAATCAAGAAAGTCTAATTATCTTTATGGTGCTCACCATATATTGTCACTTTGTTTTTAGCTAAAAACATACATATTAGAAATATGTAAGTGGTCCCAGTTTTATTATTGTCTTGCCAGCACTGTTAAGCATTCTAAAAAGAGTTTAAGACATATTCTTAGTATGAATTTTGTTATTTGCAGTCAATTATAGCATTTTTATAATAAACTAATCTGTTGCTAATTAAACTCTAGAAATCCAGAGTTCTCAGTGTGTGTGTACATGTATTACTTTCTGTCTTCTTCCAAAAGGTTTTGAGGTGGTATTCTAGAGTGCTATTATTGTATAGAAAATAATACTATTTTATTAGATCTTAAAAAAAATCCTAACTGATGATTATTTTTCAGTGATTATGTTAGAGAAAATGAGTAATTATAGTTCTGTTACCCTACCCCAGCTATTATATTTTATTCTTACATATGTGTTCATATTTTTATGTATAGAATTAAAAGTTTATAGGTGTAAGTGGTGGCTCAGCTGTTGTGATAGATACACTTTTCAAAAGAAAGCTTGAATGGTCTTCCTGCTTGTGCTTCCCCCTCGGTTACCCTCATCCAAGTCTCAGCGTAGGGAGACTGCTTTTAGAATTTTGAATTGAGAGGCCTTAGGTCATCTAGTTCAAAGTGCTTTCCACTTACGAGTAAGTCCTTTTAGGGTACTCAGAAAGGTCGTCGTCTCATTCCCTGACCCTGTTTTGTCCTTTGATTGACTGAGCACCCAGCCTTACGAACACCACAGTTCTGGTTAGTTTACAGTTTATTTGTTTGTTTAAATGGGGCAGGAATTACCCCCTAGTAACCACCAATTGCATCTACTGGTCTTAATATCTTCTTCCAGGGTAACGTAAGTCTGTTCCCCTTTCAGGTCGCACATGTTCTGAGTTGTCTTTTCTGTGAGCTACACCCCTCGTTCCTTCAGCTGTTCTTTACTTGGTGTAGTTTCTAGACTCCCTGTAAATTACATTGTCTTCTGTGGATAAAGTCTGTTTTGATGTTGTCTCCAGTAAAATGGGTACCCAGCATTCAAGTCTCATTGAAGAATACCCGTTTTCTCTGTGAGAATTTTTTTTTGAGAGTTCTAAGAAATGATTGTTAATAAAATCAGGTTTGTCTCTTAAAGACAGCAGTGTCTTTCCCAATAAAATACTCATGAAGACGCTGTAAGATAAAACTTTAAATCATTCTGAAACCAAGAGTCAGCGGCAGTCAGGAAATTGGGAAAGAGAGGTTGGCCTTCCCTGTCAGTGTCTTTTGGTGAGCAGAAGTTTTTTATTTTAATAAAGTCCAATTAACCAGTTTTTTCAAATAGATATCTAGTCTTCTGGTGCCACTTTGTTGAAAAGACTTTTCCTTCCCTTTGGGTTGCTGTGGAGCCTTTAGGAAATGGCGTGATTGTGTCGGTGTCGCTCCCTCTGGGCTCTCTGTTCAGGTCTTCTTATCTGTCTGTCCGTCGTTCTTGGGCAGCGCTGTGCTGCCCTGATGACCGGACCGTTAAGCTGAGTCTGGAAGTCCAGTCTTCCTCTTGTGCTTCTTTCAAGAATCTGTTTCCACCTCCCTGACCTCTGCACGCCCTCTGCTGTCCACCCTATTCACTGAAGTTTTTATTTCAGGTGTTTATTTTTCAGCTCTGGTATCTCCGTTTAGTTCTCTTTGTTTAACAGTTTCTTTTTTCCTGTCAAGTTTCCTGCTTCATTACAACGTATTTTCGTCATGTCCTTGGGCATACTTGTTAAAGCCACTGTAAAATCCTTGCTGCTAATTCCAGTATGTGGGTTGTCTTGGGGTTGGTATCCATGGATTGTTTTTTGAGCGTGGCTCATGTTTTCTTGTTTGTTTGTGTTTTGGAGTAATTTTGAATTGGATTTTGGATGTCATGAATAGAAGGTGTAGACTCTGGGTTCTGTTATGTTCTGGGAGTATTGAGTTGAGTATTAAGTTTCACAGTTGGTTAATGTGATTGAATTGAAATTGTCAACTCTGTCTCCCGACTTACAGGCGGCACCTGAAATCTCCTTGTGGTTATGTTGCCCTGAGCTTGGATTCTTTGTGTATGTGTGGTTTAGGAGGCAGCCAGAGATGAGGGAGAGGACTGGGGGCCTCCCTGTCTGCAGCGGTCTCCTGTGGCGATTCCCCCTAGCTTCCTTCTGCTGTGGTCTCCTGTTCTCTGTCCTAGTGAGTGAGGCTTCAAGCCACTGAGGCTCTGTCTCTGGTCTGAGTCGGTCCATCTAGCACAGATGAGCCGGCCCTCATGCCAAATGCCATAAAGCCTGAAACCTGTCCTAGGTCCCTTCCCTGCTTGCAGGTGTCGAGTCCCATTCTGTATCTGCCTACCTTTTCATATTTTTATATTTTGTCTAGATTTGATGTTTATCTGGAGTATGTTTGGTCTCATAGGAGGTACTTGGAAGTTACTGGAGGCAGAACCCTTTATCTGGAGGCAGAACCCTTTATCAGTTTCTTTTATTAAAAAAACCTTTTTGCTTATGTAAGTAATACATGTTCATTGTAGAACATTTGGAAAGTTTAGAAAAGTGCGCACACACAAATTATAAATTACCTGTGATCCTGTACCCAGAGATAACCACTGTTCACATATTGTCTGGTTTTCAAATCATTCTTCCTCCCTCCCTCCCTCCCCCTCTCTCTTTGTCTGTCCCTCCCTCCCTCCCTCTCTTTCTTCCTCTCCCATCTTCATTAAATGTAAACCACCGTGCTTATTTTCCCTTTTAATCACTCTGAAGCCTTTCCCCATGTGAGGCAGTAACCTTCAGCATGGCTGGTACTGGTGGGTTAGTGTCCATTCCTAGGGCTTCAGGCATCTACAGCCCCCTCATGGGGCAGTTACCTGTTAGGCATCTGTAACTTTTGCCTTTAAAAAGCCTTGCTAAGTAGAGTAGATATAATGGAATCCCCAGAGTAGCTAGCAGCTGTTAAACATCATCCTTAGCATTTAGTGTCATTGCAAGGATGGCTCAGAGATGTAAGAGTGAAGGGTGCCCAGACTCGGCTATTTCACACAGTTCTATATATCTAGTAGGGTGCTAACTGCAAAAATACCATTTTGAAGATCCAAGTTAATTAGATTGTTACTAATTGGGTTTTAGTGTCATTTTCTAGTAGGAAGGTAATTTCAACCTTTCCTTTTATTATTCAGCTTTTTTGGGGGAGGGGATCAGTGATGACAGGCAGTATGACTGACCAGGGAGGCTAAGCTGCAGTCTTAGAGCTATGACTGATGTTCGCTGGCATCAGCCGTTGTGCTGTCATTCTGTGTGCAAAGCCAGTACGTTTCTGAAGGATTTGCACTGATCTGAAATTCCATTTAAACCCAGAATAATATATCTTCTCCAAATCCTTTTTTTTTCCCTCCAGAGGTAAGTTAGAACTTTATTTATTGTATATAAATATACATTATATATGTATATTTACATACATTGGGTAGATAACATTTATTTTAAAGGAATGAGGTCAGTGTTGGGACGGTTACGATAGGTTTAGTATATTTCATTCTTGTCATGCAGTTCAGGTATCAAAATTGCATTTTTCTTTTGCAGCAGCAGGCCCTCGGAGGGACCCTGGTGGCAGGGACTGGAAGTGCGGTAGAAACGGACCCCTTTAAGAGGCAGCAGGCCGGACCCCCAGCAGGTACGTCCTGGAGCACAGGCTGCAGTGGTGGCCTCAGGAACCAGGTAGCTCTTAACGTGGGAGTCACAGCGTAGTGGCCACGTGTTTCTGAAGCGTGAATGCTGAAGAACTTACTTTTGGTTAGTTTCTTTTTACTTTGAAAATTAATTTTTCTTTTGGTGACTATCAGCTAAACAAAATAGGTGAATGTGTATGTGTACTGAAGTGAGAAATTTGTCAGTTGAATGGGTGTATTCCATTTTGATTTTCTATGTGCATTTGTAGGCTCTTCATTCCCCATGATATGATTAAAGGTAAAACCATCTGCTTTTTCAAGTTGTCATTCATTTTTTCCATTCTGAATTTTTTCTTCAAATTATAAACTTAATACACATTTTATATAAAAGATTCAAACAGTTCAGAAGGGTGTGACTTAAGTCTGCCTCTGGTTGGGTATTATCTGCCCATTCCCTAGACACAGAGATAGCTGCTATTAACGTTTGTGCATTTTCACAGACATGATTGTGTCCACACACAAGCATTGTTACATATTTATCACTTTGAAAAATTCAGACGTGATTGTATATACACTGGTACGTCTTCAATATAGGCCATCTTTCCCAGTCACAGGCCTCATTCTTTTTGATGGCTGTATAGTATTCCATTGTATGGTGGTTCCTTCTTTATTCATCAGACCTTTGTTAGAGTTCATTTGTTAGTAGCACCTTTTTTCTCTTATAATCAACACAGGATTGAACATCTAGTGTCATATTTTTTTCTACATGTTTGTCAATGTATCAGGAAAATGTGTCAAGGAAAAACTCCTAGAAATGAAATTGCTAGATCAAAGTGTATGTGTAGTTAAGTATTGGTGATGCTAAATTGCCCTTCAAAAGGATAGGGCCAGTTTTCACTCCTATCAATGGTTTCTGGTTCTCTCACATTTTGGCCGTTTTGTTAAGTATGATTAATCTTTTAATCTTTGTTGATCTGATGGGTGAAAAATTAAATTTTTTGTTTTGATGTGGATTTCTTTAATTTTGATAAGGTTGCACAGTGTCTTTTTATGTTTATTAACCATTAGTCTGTCCCTCTGCTAGCCTTTTATATTCTTTGCTCATTTTGTCTGTCTGGTTGTTGATACTTTTCTTGTTAATTTGTAAGAGCTTTCTGAATTTTGAATAAATCAACCTTTTGCCTGTTCATGTGTGTTGCAAATATTGTCTCTTAGGATGTCGCTTGTCCTTTGCTTTTTTATGATGCTTTTTCTTATATTTGCAATTTTTTAATGAAAAGAAATTATATTTATCAAACTTATCTTTTATGGCTTCTGGATTTTGGTTCATGCATAGAAAGGCCTCCCTGTGCAAAGATTATAAAAACACTTACCCATGTTTTTTCTACTACTTTTGTGGTTTTATTTTTACATCAAACTGCACCTTTTCTGAAAATTATTCTAGAGCAGTCTAAGAGACCTCGACTTGAAGTGGGTCACCAAGGGGTAGTTTTCCAGCACCCAGGGGTGAATACAGGAGTTCCTCTTCAGCAGTTAATGCCGACAGTTCAAGGTAAGACCCAGCGCCAGAACTAGATCTTTTAGCTCAGAAAGAGGGAGTACGGAGAGGTCTTAAAACCAACCTCAGACTAAACTGTGTGTAGTCGAGGCAGCATATTTGAAGTGGTTTCTGAAATTGGGATGTTCCTCTGAGTCCCAATTAAGATGGTGTAAAGAAACCCTTGGAGACCAGTTCTCGTCACTGTAACGGAGCCACACGTCTTGTTGTCCTCAAGCTTGTCTCCAATTTTCACTCCTGTGTTTTTCCTAATTGCCACTGTGGTAGGGCACCCTGTGGTTATTGGATGCCTGTTCTGCTTCGATGCTAACTTGCAAAGGTCAAGCGCCTTTCTTTCCTTTTCTGTGCACTCCTTTATAACCTCAGATCTAATATAACACGAATTTCCTGCCGTTGAGTTTCCCGTTTGAGTGTGTGATGGTTCTCGGTGATGGGTCTGTGACAAGCATTAGGGTGTGAAATCTGACTCACTTGGTAGGATGCTTCTGCACTCTGACGTCAGTGCTGGCGGGTGTTTCCTGTCTTGCAGGAGGAATGCCTCCCGCCCCTCAGGCCGCTCAGCTCGTGGGACAGAAGCAAAGGCAGCAGCAGTACGACGCCTCCACGGGGCCTCCGGTGCAGAATGCCGCCAGCCTGCACACTCCGCCGCCGCAGCTCCCCGGCCGGCTGCCCCTGGCCGGCCTCCCCGCTGCGCCTCTCCCGTCAGCGCTGCCGTTTGCTCAGCAGCCGCAGATGCTAGAGCCTCAGGCACAGCTCCAGATCCCAGTGAAGACCCAGCAGGCACATGCCCCTGTCCCCGCGCCCCTGCCCAGCCAGCTCCCCGCGCCTCCTCCGCAGCCTGCACAGCCAGCCCTCCGCGCCCCGACGCCCGGGAAGGCGCAGGCGCAGGCCCCTCAGCTTTCATCGCAGCCCCAGGTACTCGGGACGCCTCGTTCTGTCGGCTAGAAAGGAAGAAAAGACGAGGCGTGCGCTAGACAGGGTGGTGTGCTGTGCCGTAATCTGCACACTTTCTCTTAGCGGTTTACTGTCGCACTTCAGAACAGTTAGTGAATGCACCAGTTGCAACCTGATTTTATTTGGCTCTGTAATCGCAGTTATCATTATTAAAATATCAGGAAACAACGGGATTCTTATTGCTCCTCTCAGTACAGGGAGCCACGCGAAGGGCCTTGTGTCCATTGTCCCGCTTGATGTGCTGAGAACCTCAGAGGTGGGTGGCAGGAGCCCATTTAACCAGGGCAGGAACGAAGGCTTGAGGATGCTGGACGTCCAGGGCCGTAGCTGTGATGAGCCGTCCAGTCTGGCTTGCCCCGGCTCCTAACCATCCGCCAGACTCCCTCCCAGGCACCTTTCTTTCCCCTTCCTGGATATTCTGTCTGCCCTCTACAAACCTGGGCGAACATTGCTGACTAGGCTTGATGTACGTTTCAGGTACTGATAATGCCCCTCCTCCTCCACTAATTAATTTGACCCAGATTCCTTTTTTGGAATGTAGACTGTAAACTGTGGTGCTTAAAGAGTAGTGAGTCCTCGAAGTGCCAGCATGAGCTGTCTAGAGCACCCAAGGGGACAGTAGGGAGCGTTTTCAGAGAATTGTCTCAGCAGCATGTGATCGAGCCCGCTTAAGAAAAACCTCCGTTTTCTCGCCGTCCCTCATTAACAAGAGGATTTCCTAGGTGGGCTTTGACTTCAGTTCTTTCTGGTTAATTGACATTCGTGGCAAAGTTTGGTCTTCTATAATAATGGAGTAGTAAGAGTCAGAGCTACCTTTTATTCACCACCTACCTGGTGTCAGGTGCTATAATGAGCACTTTATCCACATTATTTTATTCCCTCTACCTAGCCAACCCTGTGAGGTAGAATCTTTATTATCCCCATTTTACCCACGAAAAGACTGAGGCCAGAGAGGCTGCATCACCTGGCAAGATCGCACAGCCAGTGACTGGAGGAGCTGTGATTTGCACCTGGGTTGGTTGGGGAGCCTTTCCTGCAGGTCCACGTTGAAGCCCTGGCTACACTCACCTTGAGAAGGAGATGTCTTGCCAGGGCAGCTGAGCCTTTCTAGGCCATTGCTGGCTTTAGATGTTGGTGGAGACAAGTGCTTCTGTTTTGAACACTTACTTTCATGGAGCCTGTGCTGACTTCAAGCAGCACTGAGGTTTTTCTTGGATTCCTATACCTCCCCTTGTTGGAAGGATCAGCTGTGGAACATGATTTGTAAAAAGCTCCTTACAAAAGCCATAGAAACCTGTTCCTTCTAGATTGGGTAGGGGTTGGCAAACTTTTTCTGTAAAGGGCTACAAAGAGAGGAGCATAGAGATATTTTAGGCTTTGTAGGCCCTGTGGTTTCTTTTGCAGTCACTCAGCTCTGCTGTTGAAGGGTGAAGGCAGCCCCAGAGCGTGCAGATGAGTGGCGTGGCCAGTAGAATTTTCTTTCCAAAAGTATACAGCTGGTGATAGTTTGCCGACCCTGAGGTAGGAGGAAATTACTGGGTGTGAAGACAGAAACCGCACGCCGTAAAAGGCACCTCCTTGGATATAGAGAGAGTGTATTACTTGGTGTCTTCTCCATATTCCAGGTTAGAAACGTGCTGCATTTTGCTTCCGTCTGTCCTCAGCCCTCTCACTCTGTAGCAATGCCTTGCCTTCCCTGGTCTCTGCTCCCCCACTTCCTCCCCAACAGAATCCTATGTGAATTTAACTTCATCTTGAGTCAAGGTGGGAGGGGTTCCTTTAGTTTTCTGTTACTAAAAAAAGATAGGAGAGGGGCCGGCCCTGTGACGTAGTGGTTAAGTTCAGCGTGCTCCACTTCCGTGGCTCACATTCGTGGGTTCGGATCCTGGGAGTGGACCTACACCACTCGTCAGCCGTTCTGTGGCGGGTGACCCACATAAAAATAGAAGAAGATTGGCACAGATGTTAGCTCAGGGCTAATCTTCCTCCAGCAAAAAAAGAGGAAGATTGGCAACAGATGTTAGCTCAGGGCCAATCTTCATCACCAAAAAAAAAAAATAAAAAAAACAGGAGAAAAAGCTGGAAAAAGCAAAAGAAAAGAAAAAGCTTACATGAGATAAGACAAAATGTGAATAGCCAAGACTTGGAAGCAACCTAAGTGCCCATCAAGGGACGAATGGATAAAGAAGCTGTGGTATATATACACAATGGAATACTACTCAGCCATAAGAAACGACGAAATCCAGCCATTTGTGACAACATGGATAGACATTGAGGGTATAATGCAAAGTGAAATAAGTCAGAGGGAGAAGGCCAAATACCGTATGATTTCCTTCATTAAGTAGTAGATAATAACAACAATAAACAAACACATAGGGACAGAGATTGGATTGGTGGTTACCAGAGGGGAAGGGGGGAGGGTGGAGGGTGAAAGGGATAATTCGGTACATGTGTGTGGTGATGGGTTGTAATTAGTATTTTGGTGGTGAACATGATGTAGTCCATGCAGAAATAGAAGTACAATGATGTACACCTGAAATTTTTGCAATGTTATAAACCAATGTTACTGCAATAAAAAAAATAAAATAAAATAAAATAAATAATTAACTCAAAAAAAAAAAAAAAAGACAAAATGTGAAAACAGTTTATAATGAGCTCTATGTGGTTTTGTGGAGTAAGAAGATTTATTATTTTATGCAGACAAGGTTTGGTCTTGGTGTTATTGTGGTTGGAGGATGTGATTCATTTGTTTGTGTGCATTGCTGTGGAGGGGGAGGCGTTGGTGCATTCCCCTCCTCAGCGATGCTGTCTCTGGCATTTGGGTGCTGGGAGCTGAGCTGAAGTCTTGTCTTCACCTGCTCACCTGTTTTCTACCTGCTAGACGGCGGTGCCTGTGAGACCACCTGTGGACCCCGCCCAGTCCTGTCAGCGGCCCCTGCCTACCTCGTCTTCTGCATCCATCGCTCCCACGAGCAGCTTGGGCTCGGGACCCTCACCTGCACGGGCCTCCCCAGTGAATAGACCCTCCTCAGCAGCCAACAAGTCACTGTCTCCAGTCACCTCCCGGTCCCCGGGGGCAGCTGTGTCGGCCCCCCCGAAACCGCAGAGCCCAGCTCAAAATGCTGCCCCGCCTCAAGATGGTTCTCAGGATAAGCTGGCAGAACAAATAGCACTGGTAAGTGCACTTAAAATTTTTTTTTAAGTGCTCAAGAAGATGGTAAAATGTATCCCAGTTTGTGGAATGCATTTGATTTTAGTTTCTAAGGAAGCAGTAGTTTAAAACGGAATAGCTGATAGTAAGGACAATTGAACATGGTTTGTGACCTGTAGAAACCAAGATTAAAACCAAGTAGTTTGACTTGTCTTGGTGGAAGCAAACCCGTGTGGAGGTGAAGTCAGCGGTCTTGGGCTGCTTTCCCTGGAGGCTCTAGGAGAGGGCAGGGGGGCGAGAGTGTGGTGCAGGCTGAGGAGCTCAGTGTCAGTGCTGGGGCTCAGAGCTGAGCCCACCGGCGCTGCCCAGGCCGATGTGGGTCACGGTCTAGCACTTAAGTTAGTGCTTACTGTTTGTTGGGTGACTGAGCAGTTATTTTGTTCATCTTCATTAGGGGAATTAAAAGAAACATGTCAAAATAGGTAGGATATCATAAACCCAGCGTTCCCATTACCCAGTTCTAACACAGTGATCAGTACGTGGCCAGTCTTATTTGATCTGTTCCTCCCCCTTCCAGATGATTTTGAAACAAATTCCAGGCCTGTATTGTTTCCTTTGTGTGTGCGTGGTCTCTGAGTTCTGTTCCGTGTTTCTGAGACGGGGCAGGACTGTGGCCTCAGCTTCTTCTAAGGCTTCTGGGAGGTCGCATGCCCGTTCCTCTGACCTCTCATAGAACCACTTTCGACCTTTGTGTTCAAGTCTTCCCTCTCTTGCTGAGACTTTCACACAAAGGGTTTCATGAATTTGAGGTCTGAATTAGTGGAACAAACTTAATAATTACATGCTGGACACTGCCTCACCCCCTACACTCCTTGCAGGAAAACCAGATCCATCAGCGAATAGCAGATTTAAGGAAAGAAGGCCTGTGGTCAGTGAGGCGGCTGCCGAAACTGCAGGAGGCCCCGCGCCCAAGATCGCACTGGGACTACCTGCTGGAGGAGGTGCAGTGGATGGCCACGGACTTTGCCCAGGAGAGGAGGTGGAAGGTGGCTGCTGCCAAGAAGGTAGGTGTGGAACACAGGCAAGCGCGGTTCTCAGTGCTCATTTGGTGGTGATGGGAATTTAAAGTGCTCTAAACAGTAGGTCTCCCAGACCAACTCTCTAAAGGTTTTTTGACTCATAACGGATATGAAGAATATTTTGTGGGCCGGCCCCGTGGCTTAGCGGTTAAGTGCACGCGCTCCGCTGCTGGCGGCCTGGGTTCGGAACCCAGGCGCGCATTGACGCACTGCTTCTCTGGCCATGCTGAGGCTGTGTCCCACATACAGCAACTAGAAGGATGTGCAGCTATGACATACAACTATCTACTGGGGCTTTGGGGGGAAGAAATAAATAAATAAAATCGTAAAAAAAAAAAAAAAAAAGAATATTTTGCTATTGTCTAGAAAGTAACTGTGCTGTGTAATTCACTTCTGAGGAGATGTCTTCAGAGCTCCAGTGTGCACTGTTGGGAAAAAACATGTCTTCCCCTGCGGCAGTTGTGGCGTGGGATTTAGGTGCCTTTTCCTGCCAGTCTCGCCTGGCAGTTGGAATGAGGATGCCTGCAGCCCCCCAGATCCGGGCTGGTGCTGAGAATTTATTTCCTTCTCATTGTTCCCAAAGCAGGCACCCAGTCCTGGGGAGAACCCCTAGGAGGCGCTCTTGCCAATACTAGGAACCTGCAAAGTGACAGGTTTCTAGAACTCTTAGGTCTCAGAGTGTGAAGCAGCTGTCTTTCTGTCCATGTAAGTAGCCCAGGGCCTGCTGCTTCTCCCCGCATCACTGCATCACCGTCTCTACTCCTCAGCACCTAGACACTGTCTTCATATTTCCTGCACTCTCAGGACTGGGATCGAGCCTGTGTGCCCTGCCTGTCACCTCCCTCCCCTGAATTCTGCCCATCAGTTTCCCGACGTAGGTTTGGCAGAGGAAAGCCGAGACCTTGGGAGAACAGTGGGGTCTGAGTGTTAAGTCAGGTTCATGGAAATTTCGGAAGAAACCCAGATTGCTCCTTAAGCACTTCCTTTTTCACAAAGGAGGATGGTCCTGAGCATGTGAACATGGGCTGGGCAGGGTGGTGGGTGGGGGACGAGGGGCATAGGACGCATGCTGAGGAGCAGGGCTGAGGGGCAGCTGAGCTGTGGCCGAGTGCTGCCCTCCTCATGTTGTCCCTCCTCCCCCGGGACAGACAGGCAAGAGGCTGAACAGGTAGCTTTGTGCGAGGGGTGTGCGTCGACCACGAGTGTGGGAGGGAGGCCATGTCAGCAGTGTCCCTGTGGCTTGCTGCACGTTTCTTGGCCCAGAATCGGGGCTGGCGGCTGTGCTGTGCTCAGGGCTCAGAATGTGTTCATTTTTAAGTTACTTCTCAGCACCTTTTTGAGGTACTACTGGTGGGGTTGTAAAGAGTATAAGTACTGGAAAGCAGTTTGGCAGTTTAATGCAAAAGTGTTAAAAGTGAATTATCCCAACCTAACATTTTTCATACCTAGGATTAAATAAATCTTGCTGCAGTCATGCAGTGGAGATCATGCCCATTAAAAATGATGTTGATCTATGTTTGTTCATAGAAAGATGTTAATCATATATTAAATGGGGGAAGAAGAGTGTAGCACACTATGGTGTTCCATTTTGGAGAAAAATATGTGTATTTAGTAAGATAAAACTTTCTGGAAAAGTCCAGCAGAATGTCGGCACTGGTTTTTGCTTGTATTAGCATTTCTCTGGTGTGCCCTGAGAGCAGATGAGGGTGCATCTCTCTGCGAATTATACATCGTTACGGGCTGAGAAGATTTTTAAGAAACTTTATGGATGTTTTTTCTTATAGCATGATGTAGAGCATAACGTAAAGCTCTCGAACTTTTGTTTACTAGCTCGTCCGGACCGTGGCACGCCATCATGAGGAAAAGAAGCTTCGTGAGGAGAAGGGAAGGAAAGAAGAGCAGAGCCGACTGAGACGCATAGCTGCCTCAACCGCTAGAGAAATAGAATATTTCTGGTCAAATATTGAACAGGTAAACGCTCAGATTTTAGTAGGGTCCTGGAAACGTAGGCTGTGGCGGGGCTGTGAGGCTGCCTTCTGAACAGCGCCTGACTGAGTAAGTGATGGAGAACCGCAAGGCAGGTGGCGCCTGCAGAGTCACTTAGAAAGGCTGCTTCTGGACCGTTGGCTCGTTAGAAGGGTTGGTTCTTCCTCTGCGTGTGTTTCTTTGCGTGTGGAAACGCATGTCAACTGTAACCCACGTGCTGCGATGTTGGTGAGCCTTCATGAGGGGCTCTTCAAATAGTTCTTTTTAGTGTTAGTGCAAGTCCCTAAAGGCAGCTTATTTCCAGAATGGCTGCTCTGTCTCGATTCCTTTTTTAAAAAATCCTCATCTTACCGCCTGATAGAACTTGGGCAGAATGCAGTGAGATACCAAGTACATGGAAAAGTACCAGACTGAGGACTTCTGTTTGAAGCAATTTGAAATAAGGTTGGGCAGCTGTGCTTTTTAGACTATATGTGTGAGGTTTACTGTTTTCGTGTGTAGAACTTCTGTGATTTACATCCTTAATAACATGTCTGTTTAACTCTTTGTATTTAGGTTGTAGAAATAAAACTACAAGTAGAGTTGGAAGAAAAAAGGAAAAAGGCTTTAAATTTACAGAAAGTTTCCAGAAGAGGTACGGTCTTTTTTAAAAAAGCCTGAACCTTTTTTGGCTTGTACTTTGTTCCAGTTCCCTGCTTGCCGGGGACCTTGTGACATGGTGGCTTCCCAGGGAAGTCATTTGCTCCTCAGCCAGTTGTGAACATCTGGTCTGCCTGATGGTTACGTTTCTCTTCGTGTAGCTGTCTTAGCTGTAGATTTCAGTTCTTCTGAGATTTGCTAGTGTGAGTCAGCACCCCAAGTTGATTAACTTTGGGGCACTCTCAGAATTGAGGTTCTGAGCCTGTCCCCTACAGCCAGTCAGGTGAACTCCCTAGGCATGTGCTCCCCATGGGATCCCTCTGTATCTTTCTGGTGCACTGCCTCTGCAGTGGCCGCCTCCTCATTGGACGCCTTGATGTGGGCCAGGCACCAATGGAGGTGGCCTTTGCTGGGGGCAGCATAATGCCTCTCATCTTACTGATGAGGAAACTAAGGTGGAGAGGTGGCCACTGCTGAAAGTCATGGAACTATAAAACCATACAAATCATAAAAAAGAATCTGTTGTTTAGCTGCTCTGTCCCTCTCCAGAACAGAGACTTCTGGGTTCCTGCGGAGGCATCAGCACTGACAGCTGAGAGCCACCAGTGCACTTTGTGGGTATAGAGGCGCGGGCTGGTGCTGTGCTGCTGCCCTTGGTTACCAGAAGGAAGCAGGTGGAATTCGCTTTTACTGTCTTTTCCTCACATAGAGGAGAGGTTAGCAGGGTGTGGCCTAGACAGGCAGCGGTGCCCTTGACACTTGTGAAGAATGTCACCTTCTCCACAGCTTTAGTGAAAACACAAATCATGTTACCTGTCTCTTCAGGAAAAGAGTCGAGATCTAGGGGACTTGATACATTACCGGAAAATTTTCTGGTAAGTTCAGGACTGTTACTGCACTGTGTAAGAGAATGGAAGCAATGTAAAAAAAATATAATGTCTGATAAAATGGAGTTACTTGTTTTTATCTGGAGAAACTTGCAGATTATAAATAATTATTATTCCCTTTCATTTTAAAATCAGTCTTCTTTGGGGAAAAAGCTGGTTCTTGATAGCTTTAGGCTCACGTGGGGTATTAATTTGGCGATTGGGGACGATGCAGCTGAATCTTCAGTGTAAATCCAGCAGTGACTGTGGATTTACACAGCCTGTGGACACTACCCAGAGCCTTTCCTGTGACTGGAGGCAGACGAAGGCCAGCATGCTTGTCACAGGCTCACTGCTGTCCTCCTAGGTGCATGTTAAACAGACATTTCTGCTTTGGTTTTCCATTCTGGGTTTTAAGATCTCATGTTTGTGATTTTTATTCTGTGTTTCAGGATTCGGGAATATCTGGAAGAAAAAGAAAAGCTAGCACATCTTTAACTGATGATGAAGGTCTGTCCTCCTGGTGTCTTTTTGTTGTTTGCAGGGCCCTCTGAAGTCACAAGTGGAGTGCTCACTCAATGCTGCCAGCGTGTCTAGTACAGCCTTGACCAGAGACCCTGGTGGCCCAGTGACTTGTGTCGTTGGGGGCCGGGTGCCTTGTTGGGCAGTGGGGGGTTTGCAGTGAAGAAATGAGGAGTTGGACTGTGGAGGAGAGAGAGTGTAGGACTGTGTGTGTGTGCGCGTTTGTTTGTAAGGGAGGAGAGGCAGTAAGTGGTGATGGGAAGGAGCCAGCTGAGAGGGGCTGAGGCTGGCGTGAGAGAAGGTGCAGTTTTCCTGGCAAGGCCCCAGGCAGCCAGGGCTTATGCTCAGTTGGAGAGGTGGCCCATAGACAGGCGGAGTTCTGCTGCTGGCGCTGGTAGACTCTCTTCTCTGCCAAGAGCCCGGTTTCTGTTGGGAGGGTGGCACCGGGTGCAGGACTGAAGCTGGTTTGAGATGATAGTTGCGCAGGACAGGAGCCGGGCTGAGGGAACGGTAAGCTGGGCGGCAGCCGGGGCCTCTTCGAAATAGGCAATGACAAATTCATAGTGATGCCAAACAGCATGCTTGTGGGTTTTTCTGCAGCAGGGCTCAGCAGGTGGACTAGAGGTTTCACCTCACTCGATGTTTTGGCCTGAGTAGGTCTGTTGTGTAGTGAAAACTAGGCTGTATTTCACACCCTGAGAGGGAAGAGAGAGTGTGGTCCCCAGGTTCCTGCTCACTTAATAAACTGTCATTTCCACATTTAATCTGATAAATTAAAAGGCTTAGTTTTAACTTCTTTAATAGCTGTGTGAAACAATTTGGAAGCCTTGTAGTGTTTCATGAATAATTGAAGAGAGTAGGAAGTAAAGTCTACCTCACTGATGTTTGATGATAACCATTTCAGTGGAAGATGAGGAGGAGACAATTGAAGAGGAAGAAGCAAATGAAGGGGTTGTGGATCACCGCACAGAACTGTCTAATTTAGCCAAAGAAGGTAGGCTCCGAGTGTCCTGCGGAAATGCTTTGTTCAGTATAGGATACGTAGAAAAGAACCTGTGAAAGACGTGTAAGATCCATTCAGCGCCAGTGTAACCTGCCACACTGTCCAGTGTGAGAGAGAACGCTTGAGTGCCCGTGTGCCCATTCCCGCCGCCTCTTTGCTCTGGGAGGTGACTCCCATGCTGGATCTTGCCTTTATCGTTCCCTCGGTTCTATTGTTTTCCTGTCACCTATGTATAGTAGTGAAAATAGCGCTTCGCTTGCACTGAGGGAACTTCATATACACGGAATCATGCTGTGGGTTCAGCCACTTGCTTTGTTCACTCAGCTCTTCTGCTCCCGTGTTTTGTCCGCATGGTTGTGTCTTGCTGTGAATTCATTAATTCTCACCGCTGAACAGTGCTGCATGGGTGAACGGTCACAGATGATTGATTGTGCTGTTGGTGGGCATGTGGGTTGTTTCCCTGTGTTTGCCCTGACAAACGAGGCTGCCGTGATTGCTGGTGTTTCCCCGTGCATATGGGCGTGGTTGGACGGCGTGCACACACGTGGTCAGCTTTACTCAGTCAGGCCAAATTCTGGTTAGAGTGTCGTACCAAGTTCCACGTCTCGGGAGCCCCTGATGTTCTCTGTCTAGAACATCTTTGCCAGTCTGGTGGATGGGAAATGCCGTCCCTTTGTGGTTGTGGATGCGTTTCTCTGATAACTGATGAGGTGCAGCATCTTTTCATGGGTTTCCTCTTCTGTCTTTGCTGTTTTGGTTTTGGGTTTTCTTTTCCTTGTTGACTCTTAGTGTTCTTTTTTTATCCTGGACATGATCCTTTGTCCATCATATGTGGTGCAGTAATGTTTTTCTAGCTCATGGTGTGTCTTCATTCTATTTATGGTACCTTTTTTTTTTTTGCTGAGGAAGATTGGCCCTGGGTTAACATCTGTGCCCATCTTCCTCTACTTTAAATGGGACACTGTTACAGCGTGGCTTGATGAGTGGTGCGTAGGTCCACACCCGGGATACGAACCTGCGAATCCCGGGCCGCCGAAGCAGAGCGCGCAGACTTAACCACTACGCCACTGGGCTGGCCCCTCTTTATGATACCTTTTGATGAAGAGGTGTTCTTAATTTTAGTGTAGTTGAATTTATCAATCTCATTAAAAAAAATCCTTTTTACCTCAAGGTCATAAGGATGTCTTCTGTATCATCTAAAAATTTTTATTTTTATTCTCATATCGATGTCTTTAGTCCATCAAGAATTGCTCTTATCTGTAGTGTGAAATAAATGCACTTTCTTTTTTTCCCCAAAGGATAAGTCATTGTCCCAGTGACATGTGAAAAGCCTGTCTTTCCTCACTGATATTCAATGCTAGCTCAGACACAAGTCAGTGAAGTTTCCGGATATGCATGGCTCTCTCCGGGCCCTTTATTGTTTTATTGGTCAGTTTGTATCAATACCACACTCTCTTAATTACTCTGGCTTTATAATAATTCTTGAGATCTGGTTAGATAAGTCCTTCTACCTAGTTCTTTTTTAGAAGAGTCTTGACTACTTTGGGCCTATTGCAGATACACCTCAGAATCAGCTCATCTAATTTCACAGAAAAGCAGTTGGGAATTTTGATTCGAATTTAGTTGAGTTAATGGGTGTTCAGTGAGAATTGTACCTTTGTGAAGTTGAGCTTTTCAAATCTGTGATCAAAATACACCTCCATTTGCTTAGGTCTTCTTAAACAGCTTTCAGTAAAATGTTATGATGGCATATTTTTTGTTAGATTTATTTCTAGATACATTATATTTCTTGAAGTTGAAGTAAGTGGTATGTTTTTTAAAATTGCATTTAAAATTTATTGCTAGTATGTAGAAATGCAGTTGATTTTTATTTATTGATCTTATATCCAGCAACTTTGCTGTACTCTTGATCAATTCTGTGTATACAGTCTCTTCATCTCTGAAGAATGAGTTTTTCTTTTGTAATCCTGGTACTTCTATTACTTGCTGTAAAGCGTAGAATTAGAGGTGCGGATGGTGGACGCCTTGGGCTTGTTCTTGATTTGAGAGGCAACATTTTCACCCAGAGAGGCAGTATGTTGTGTTGGTTAGTCCTAATTGCTTGGTTCAAATCCAGTGTCCATTCACTTCTTCTCTTAGCCTGTTAGTTACACTTGTTTTTGGAATTGTTGTTGGGGTAGCTTTCTGACCACAGTGTGCATCCTTGACTTGTTAGGGTTTGTATCGACTTAGTGCTGTAGCGCGTCTCCCTCTTTCTGTCGGCCGGGAATTGGAAGCCGCCTGGCTGGGTGGTTCTGGCTCGGGTCTCTTGAAGATGCTGTCGTCAGAAGGCTTGGCTTCCCTTCCACGTGGGCTTGCCTTGCTTGCTGGCAGGCTGTTGGTAGGCAAGCCCAGTTCCTTGCACAGGGACTTCTCTGTGGTGCTGTTTGAGCATCCACGTGGCATTGTGGCATGGTGGCCGTTCTCCCCAGAGCTCCCCAGGCTCTTACAGCTGAGTCTTGCAAACCACTCCCTGTCATTTCACATCATCTAGCAGTCACCTAGGCTAGCCCTGGCCAGCGTGGGAGGGGACTGACCAGGCTGTGACCACCAGGAGGTGATGTCTGTGATGCTGAGTCTTTATCCATTCACAGAGCATGCTTGTTCTCGTTGAGGTCTCCTCTTATGCCTCTAAAGGCTCTCAGGAGCCTTTTAGCATTCTCTTCATGTAGATGTTGTGCATTTTAAAAAGTTTTAATTCTGGGCCGGCCCTGTGGCTTAGTGGTTAAGCGCGCGTGCTCCGCTGCTGGTGGCCCGGGTTCGGATCCCGGGTGCGCGCCGATGCGCCACTCCTCCGGCCATGCTGAGGCCGTGTCCCACATACAGCAACTGGAAGGATGTGCAGCTATGACAGACAACTATCTACTGGGGCTTTGGGGGAAAAAATAAATAAATAAAATCTTTAAAAAATAAAAAGTTTAATTCTAAGTATTTAATTTCTGTCTGAATGGAGTCTTTTCTCCCAGTATCTCTTCTAAGTGGTTTATATATGTGAAGCCTATTGATTTCTGTGTATTAAGTTTGTTCCAGGACACCTTACTGAATTATCTTATTATTGTAGTCATTTTTCAGTTGTTTCTTCTGATTTTTTCTAGTTAGATAGCCATTATATGATGTATATGTATATACTCCAGCATTTTGTTGTGAAAACATTCCGACATACAGAAAATTTGAAAGGACCTCATCAGGAACACCCACATACCTGCCACCTAGATCATACAGTTGATTTCACTTGGCTTCATCACGTATCTGCCCATCAAGCCAGTATGATGGGTATTTTAAATCAGGAGCAGATGAAATCACTGGATTCTTATTAGTCTTAGATGAACAGTGCCTTTGATATTGTTCTTTTGGGCTACTTCAGTGTGGCATTTGTTATTTTGGCCACAAACTTTATTGACGTATAATACACATGTAGAAAAGTTCACATCATCACAAGTATGCAGCTCAGTTACAGTGCTTTCCCTAGATTACAGCTGACACCGTGCGGAGCTGTGTTTGAACATAAATCTGAGTCTGAGTTTCTGATTGCTCCTCTGGACAGGCTCATGGAAGTGGGAAGTACTGAGGTCAGAGGGTGTGAAATTTTAAAGCTCTTTAGCTTTCCATCCTGGTTTCCTGAAAAATGAAGCCAGTTGATCCCATTACCTTCTGTGTTTGAGAGTGTCTCATTCATTCTACTCTTCCAACACACTGATGTTTAGGATGGTTGCTAATTTGATAGAGGACAAATGGTGCGCTAACTGATGTCTAGAGATGCTCAGTTAAAAAATACGTTATGAGCCTTTATAGTGTTTTGTGTGTGACACAGCTCCATATCCTTTGCCCATTGTGACTGAGGCTTTAGTGGGGTGGGTTTTTTAATCAGTTAGGGTGAGCTCCATATACAGAAAGCATAAATCTTTCATCACACTTTTTGAACATTTTTTCTGTTTTATTTTGTTTGATTTTATTTGAAGTTTTACATTTTTATGTATCATATCCACCAATTGTTTTCCATCAGTAGTAGTATGTATTATTCTGTAGGTCTAACTGTACATTTATTAGATTATTTCAGAAATATTTCTTCTTTTATGAATAAAAATTGAGTTTCTTCATTTCATTTCAAAGATTCTCATCTTTACAAAGAAAATATTTTAGACCTTGTATCAGTAATGGGCAGTCATTAGTTTTTGAAAAAAATAAATGTACTTTTAGAAAATAATATGCTTTTCCCAAGGAATTATGTAAAGCCAGGAAAAGGAATATGTGTGAAAGGGCCTTGCCCTTCCTGCGGCCCTCCTGGCGTGTTTTCTTCCCACCTGACATCAGTGGTGTAAAATAACCACCTTTCTTCCTGCAATTCTTTCCAGCGGAATTGCCCTTAATTGATTTGATGAAGTTGTACGAAGGTGCCTTTCTGCCGAATTTCCAGTGGCCCCAACCTAAACCCGACAGTGAGGAGACGAGCGAAGAAGAAGGTCTGTTTTAGCATCTTTAAAGAATTCAGCTGTAAAAACAAAAGCCAAGATACTGACAGAGGAAGGATGCTTACAACAGAATTTAAAAATTATCTTCATTTTCTTTTAGTCTAATGAAAGAAAAACAGTTTTAAGGAGTTTATTTTCATTAGACATTCCAAAGAGATACACAAACTACACCGAAAAAAGTTTCCACTTTTTCTTGTTTTCGTGCTGCTTGTTCTGATTATTAGACAGAGATGCCTGTGCGCAGGGAGGTGAGGGAGGGGCTGGGAAGGAGTTCTGGGGCAGGCCAGGGGCTTTCAGGACACCACGCTGCAGCGTCTCCTGAACTTGGAGGTGCTTCGAATTCTTCCTTTCTTGTTGGTGGAGGGCGGTCACTAAACCTTTAGATGCCCATAAATCTCTTGGTAATACCAACTCCTAATCGCTGCAAAGACGTTGTCCAGTGTCACCTGAGAGCTGTCCGGAGTGGTCCTACATTTGACACTTTCATAAGAGTTTGTACTCATTTGTCTGGATAGCATTGTTAGGTATATAAAGAGGACTAAAAACAAAAAAATTACTGCTTATTTCTGTATTTGAAGTATTTGGATTCTGTCAACTTGTTTCCTTTTTTTTTTTTAATGTTAAGCAAGCTCATAAAACTATCTCAGCAGCTGCAGATCCCGCAAATACCGTTTTTGCTTCATTCACAGACATGGAGGACTGCCCGGGTGACCGGGAGAGCCGGAAGGATGTGGTTCTCATAGACTCGCTGTTCATCATGGACCAGTTTAAAGCTGCAGAGAGAATGAATATCGGGAAACCACACACAAAGGACATCGTGGAGGTGACTGCTGTGGCCGAAGCTGTCCTGCCCAAGGGCAGTGCTCGGATCAGTACCGCGGTGAGGCGCTACACTTTTTTTTTGTCGCTGTTCCCCCCCACCCCACAATTCCTTTTATCCTTAGGGTGTATGTTACGGGATGCCAGTCCAATTACTGTGATGTTTTCTTTTTCTTCTTTTTTTTTTTTTTGGTGAGAAAGATTAGCCCTGAGCTAACATCTGTTGCCAGTCTTCCTCTTTTTGCTGAGGAAGATTGGCCCTGGGCTAACATCCATGCTCATCTTCCTCTATATGGGATGCCGCCACAGCATGGCTTGACAAGAGGTGCGTCGGTGCGTGCCTGGGATCTGAAGCCTTGAACCCCGGCCTGAAGCAGAGTGTGTGCACTTAACCGCTCTGCCACCAGGCTGGCCCCCGAGGTGCTGCACTTCTTTGTGGGACAGTGTCTTTGTGAGGCAGAGAGGCTTCCTACCTCCAAATAATCTCTTTATCCCTAACTGAAGAAGTTGTCAGAAAAAGCAATTATTGATCTTTCTTTTCCTATTATCTCTAGATCATTTTTTTGTGGCTTTCCAGTAGGCTTATTGTATGACTGATTTGACTTCACTTTGGAGAAAAAGTTCTAATAAGCACTTTGAGAAGAAGTGCTTATTTGGCCTGTCTGTTACTGCAGGTGAAGTTGAACGCCCCATCTCTGTTGTATGGTGTGCTCAGAGATTACCAGAAAATCGGCCTGGACTGGCTAGCCAAACTCTACCGGAAGAATCTCAATGGCATATTGGCAGACGAAGCTGGGCTTGGTAAAACAGTGCAGATCATTGCTTTTTTTGCCCACCTAGCTTGTAATGAAGGTAAGAGCTTGTTGTTTTTTGAATAGTATGTATTTACTAAGACTGAATGGTAGGCAGTGCATCTGGCATGAGGGTGGGGAGTGGCCGTTCTTCTCTGCTCCTTTGCTCTGTGCTCTGGTCCAGGACTTGAGAGAACAGGGCTTAGAAGTACTTGTTGCGTGAACAGACATAAAATTTGTGCACCGTTACTAGATTGAGTAACTCAGAATCTAATCTAATATGAGATCCACCCGGCGGTGACCAGGCTTTGTGACTTTCGGTGTTCCACTGCCAATGAGTATGTGGACAGCTGAGCAGATGGCATAGCCTCTGTGTTTCTTCTGCATTGGCACGAGCCAGTGCCTGGGCTGTCACCAAGTGCTGGCCACGGGCTGGTTGGTATGCGTCCTTTGTGGCATAATCGGTAGTGTGCTGCCATGGCCCACTCCTGTCTTCCTTGTGCTCCTATGACGCCTGCCCCTCCTGTCTCTCCTGCTGGATCCTGCCGCCCAGTGGTGCTTCTGCTCTGCTGCTTGGGTTCCTTAGGGAGCTGCCTAGTGCCATGTGAGGGCTCGGCAGCTGAACAGCAGCGGAGAGACAGAGTGCCCACTGCCTCTTCGGCAGGCTGTGCCCTCCACCCCAAATGCTTCCTCACCCCTTGACTCTTTCAACTTGAACATCATTGGTCCAGGTTTCCATGTCGGGATGTTCAGGGATCAGCCCCTACTCGCTGCGTCTGCTCTGCCTGTGGTTCAGGTGCCCACCTCACCCCCAACTCTGCACCTGCAGGGGCTGTAGAAGAATGTGCACCTTGTGTCTCTAACGGAGGACAAGGTCTTATAGTCTTCCTTTTGCAAAGAAAATGTCCGAAAAGCACCTTGGGATGAGTTGTTGAACCTTACGTTCCAATCCAGACTTAAGTAGGCTCCTCAGTAGCCACAGAGAAAAATGAACACGTTGTCTTTCTCTGATGTTGGGGTTTCGGAAGGAAGGAGGGGACTGTTTAAATTAGGAGGGTGTTAGCACTCTGGTGTAGGTTGGATGGAAACAGGAAATTCAGTAGACCTGTGAGATGGAGGTACGAAGATGGGTGGTGATTATTCCTTCAGCTGAGGGCTAGTTTCTTCCTCCTCTCTCTCCAAATTGTTACACTGTTACCTTGGCATCTTTAGTAAATCATTCTTCTTTGCCCTTTGTTTAAAAAGCTTAATCAGCGGCTGGCCCGGTGGCGGCGTAGTGGTTAAGTTCATGTGTTCCACTTCAGGGGCCTGGAGTTCGCTGGTTCGGATCCTGGCGTTGGACCTACTCACTTATCATCAAGCCATGCTGAGGTGGCTTCTCACATAGAAGAGCTACAACTTTACAACTATGACACACAACTGTGTACTGGGGGTTCGGGGAGAAAAAAGAAAAAAAAAAAGAGGAAGATGGGCAACAGATGTTAGTGTAGGGCCAATCTTCCTCAAAAAAAAAAAAAGAAAAGCTTAATCTCATAATTAGGTTTTTTTGTGTGTGTGTGCGCGGAAGATGGTCCCTGAGCTAACATCTGTGCCAATCCTCCTCTATTTTATATGTGGGACACCGCCACAGCATGGCTTGATGAGTGGTGGATAGGTCTGTGCCTGGGCTCCGAACCCACGAACCCTGGGCTGCTGGGGCAGAATGTGCAAACTTAACCACTACGCCCCTGGGCCGACCCTCATAATCAGTTTTTAAACACAAACGGATTGACTTCTGGGTCCTTATTTTCTTGGATTAGTTTGTTTCTGTTTTTTGACCCAGCATCACAGGGTTTTAAATGCATCACTTTAAAACAGATTTTAATATATACAGTTATTTCAAGATGGAAAAACCACCTTCCCTTACTATTAAGTGAAAAAACTGTTCATTGCTATATTATAATAGTGAAAAGTTAGAAGCAGCCTACCCTTCCAAAAATAGGGGATTTTATTTCATTACTTGAACAAATGAATGAATCATTCATTCCATAGGTACTTAGCTAGCGCCTACCCTGTTCCAGGCACTGTTCTCAGCACTGAGGGTGCAGCTCTGAATAGAACCAAGCCCCCACCCACAGGAGGCCCTCACTGGGTGCGGACAGTGGGTCTGGAATAAGATGCCTCAAGGGAAGTCTTAGCAGGACAAGGTGTGGGGGGTGGGGGGAGCAAGGAAGGCCTCATGCATAGCAGGTGAGCAGATGCCTGAGAAAGCTGTGGCCCTCTGGAGCAGGGGACCCAGGGAGACGCGGCCTTGGATGCAGAGGCTGAAGGGGCAGCTGGTGTGTCCATGGAACAGCGCCGAGGCTGGTGCAGCAGTGGGAGTGCTCAAGGCCAGGAAGGTCGGCAAGGCTGGCTGTGGTGGGGGCCTTGCAGGCAGCATGTGGGCCTGGCTGCTCCTCAGTGTGGATCTGCATTAGTGCAGGTGTCTGAGGAGTTGCCTAAACAATTTGTACTGGGAAGAGACGTAGAAGGCTGGCCGTCAGGAAGCTCCCTCTGTAGGGGAGGGTGAGTGGCTGGCACCAGGAAAGAGCAGTGGGCAGGTCCCGATGTACTTTGAAGGATAGTGTGCTGCTCATGCTGCTTCTCCAGTTGGATGGACCACGGGCACTTCAAACTGAGTGTGTCCCACCTTGGACATGATTCCCCTGTCTGTCCCCCACCCCATGCGGCCCAGTCCAGTGTCCTTGGGTTCCTCATCACCGTGTGACCAGAAAACCAGAGTTCACCAGTTCTGCAAGAGTCGTGGGGCTCACTGGAGGAGACTTGTAGGGAGTTCTGAGAAATTCACACAAAATTAAGATTGCTCACAAACTCACCACTCTGTCTTTTTTTGAGGAAAATTAGCCCTGAGCTAACATCTGTTGCCAATCCTCGTCTTTTTTTTGCTGAGGAAGACTGGCCCTGGGCTAACATCCGTGCTCATCTTCCTCCACTTTATGTGGGACACTGTCACAGCATGGCTTGATAAGCGGTGCATAGGTCCCTGCCTGGGATCCGAACCTGTGAACCCCAGGCCGCCGAAGCAAAGCGCACGAACTTAACCACTATGCCACCAGGCCGGCCGCCTCTGTTTTGTTTTTTTTTTTTAAGTAAAAAAATAACAATCTCGCCCTGTCCACTTGCTTCTGTGCCCAGTGGTGACCTCTCAGGGCAGTCTAGTGTGTGTCCTGCCCAGATATAGACAGACATATTTACAAACATATATATAGACGCTTTGTTCTCTCCAAAAATGGAACAGTGTGTTAAATGGCAGGTTTTTTTTTTTAGTCTTGTTTTTCATTGGGGGAAAATGGCATCTGGGGTTGATTTGCATTTCCCTGCTCTTGAGGTTGTGCCTTTTAAAGAGTTTATTGTCTACTTGTTTGTTTTGCCTTGTGAAATTTCTGTTCACATCCTTGTTCGTTTTCTGCTTGGGTGGTTCTTGTTAAGAATTGGTAGTAATGCTTTGCATATGAGCAGTAATGGCCAGAGATGTATGTGCTGTAGGTGTTTTTTCCAAGTCTGCCATTTCTGTGTTTTAACTTGGTTTATATCTCATTTTAGCAGAGAGGTTGCAATTTGTTGGGTGTGTATTACTCTAATAATTTGAAAAACCCTATTTTTCAGAAGAATGAAGTTACAGCCATATAACTTGGGGATGGTTTGGGTGTTTTGGGGCTAGAGGTTGGAACCTGCAATGAGCACGAGCCATAAGAGCCATAAGCCTGCCTGTGCTGCGGGAGTGCCGACTGCGGGGTGGGCTCGAGAAGGCCTCAGGGCGCCGAGTCTGAACACTCCGTCTGCGGGCTGTCTTCACTTTCAGAGCATCATTTGTTATAGATGAGCGTTCTTCCCCATGCTCACGGTGGGATTCATCGTGTTTTTGAGTAAATGTTTATTTTATTTGGTAATTACTCATTCAGCAACTCGTTGCTGAGTGCCTCCTGTGTGTCAGGTCTTGAGTCCTGAGGAAGCAGGATGTGGGAGCCGGGGAGGAGCCTTGCCCGATTCTCATGGTTGCAAGGTAGACAGGACGCCTATGCATCTCACCTGGATGTCTGCTTTAGTGTCACGTACTGGGAATTCCCATACATATCCATTAAGCTTCTCTGATCAAGACAGCGCTGGGTGCCTGGATTGACGGATGGTTTTAGTTAAAGAGGGAAATTCTGTATCTTCTTTCCTTTATAGGCAATTGGGGCCCTCATCTTGTCATTGTGAGAAGCTGTAACATACTCAAGTGGGAGCTCGAATTGAAGCGATGGTGTCCTGGGCTCAAAACCCTCTTATATGTTGGCAACCATAGAGAACTCAAAGCAAAGAGACAGGTATTTTATTTTAAACATGAAATAAAACTAAAAAGAAAACCATCTTAATTTCTACAGAAGATGAATTTCAGAATGTTAAGACATGCTTGTTAGTGTAATTATTGTAAATCACCTATTTGTGAGTTTCCAGACCTTTGAGATGTTCCTAGATTTGGAGCCCCTTGAAAGCAGACTACACTTGATAAGCTGGTCACTGCCTGCAAGGAGGGCTTCAGGTGCACATGGCCGCATTCCACAGAGGGCTCATTTTCACTTCCCAGAGAGTGAGGGAATTTCCTTCCAGAACTAAGTGGTCTCTGGAGAGGCTGCAGCTCTTTTTAACTGTAGGCCCGTTGACTATCACAAGCGTAAACGAGAAGTTGTGATGAGTCCTGAGTTCTGAACTATAAATCCGTAAAATAATTCCCGGGGAAATGTTTATTAGGAATATTTGTAACATACAGATAAGCTTCAAGAACAAATCTGGACTCTTTTTCTTTTTTCCACCCAGTAGTCTCTAGTACTAGATTCTAAGTAAAAGTACATTACAAATCACAAGTTTTCATCGAATATAAAATTCTGTCTCAACATTAGACTCTATTTTTTTTGTGTGTGTGAGGAAGATCAGCCCTGAGCTAACATCTATTGCCAATCCTCCTCCTTTTTTCTCTTTTTCTCCCCAAAGCCCCAGTAGGTAGTTGTATGTCATAGTTGCACATCCTTAGTTGCTGTATGTGGGATGCCGCCTCAGCATGGCCGGACAAGAGGTGCGTCGGTGCGTGCCCGGGATCCGAACCCGGGCCACCAGCAGCAGAGCGTGCGCACTTAACTGCTAAGCCATGGGGCTGGCCCCTGGACTCTATTGTATTGAGTAGTATGTATTAGAGAGGTGAGGACCTTGAGACATACTTTCTTTTTGCAAACTCGGATTAATTTGTTTTTAAAAAGCTTATAATGCAGTCACTTGGCAACATAGATCTTCACATTTACCGTCATCTTTTGAATACATTTTTCTCTTGCTCAGATTATGTACTATAAAAGCTAGTCTCACTTCAGGATACTCTGATAATCTTATTTCCAAAGACAATTGTTAATGCCTCCAAGGCAGCTTCTTCGTGTGTCTACACAAGTGCTTTAGACTCCTAGAGGAAAAGATCATAAAAATATAAACTCAGCCATTTTCTGTGCAGCAATAGGCAAGTTACTAAGAAAAATGAATAAAGTGATTATGGATGGGAACAGGCTAATTCAGTGGCAAAAACTCTCAAAAGTATTCCCCAGATTATTTATTCCAAAAGAAGAAGAAATGAGAAGACAGTTGAGGCCTTATTTTATATGCTGCAGGAATGGACCGAGCCCAACAGCTTCAACATCTGCATCACATCCTACAAGCAGTTCTTTAAGGGCTACGCCTCCTTCACGCGGGTGCGGTGGAAGTGCTTGGTCATCGATGAGATGCAGCGCGTGAAGGGCATGACCGAGAGGCACTGGGAAGCTGTGTTCACCCTGCAGAGGTCTGACCTACCACCCAAGCATTGTGTGCTAGCCTTTCACCATTGAGTGTTCTGTGTTGCTGTTGCCATAAAGATTCTTTTGAAGTAATTTAGATAATTACAGACTCACAAAGAATTGCCTTTCAGCTACAGAGAGTTCCCCTTCACCTTTGTCATAGCACCTCAGGCTGAAGAGACCCTAAGCGTTCATTTAATTAAGTCCATTTCTTGAAGGCTTGTGTACGTTTACCTTAGCTTCATAAAAGCGTTGTTGTCCCTTTTCTTTTTTTTTTTT